CCCAACCCTCCCCTATCCCAACCCAACCCTCCCCTATCCCAACCCTCCCCTATCCCAACCCTCCCCTATCCCAACCCTCCCCTATCCCAACCCTCCCCTATCCCAACCATCCCATATCCCAACCCTTCCCTATCCCAACCCTCCCCTATCCCAACCCAACCCTCCCCTATCCCAACCCTCCCTTATCCCAACCCTCCCCTATCCCAACCCTCCCCTATCCCAACCCTCCCCTATCCCAACCCTCCCCTATCCCAACCCTCCTCTATACCAACCCTCCCTTATCCCAACCCTCCCATAACCCAACCCTCCCATATCCCAAACCTCCCCTATCCCAACCCTCCACTATCCCAACCCTCCCTTATCCCAACCCTCCCCTATCCCAACCCTCCCCTATCCCAACCCTCCCTTATCCCAACCCTCCCATAAACCCAACCCTCTCCTTTATCTTCACTCATACGTTGTCTTGTGATTCGATCGCAGATATTTTGTTTTTCTATCTGTTCTCCACGCTCTAAAAGTCGTTCTAACAGCCCCAATTTCTGGATCAGCCACGGTCCATTGAGTTCAATAATTCGCACTAAATACATCATCATAACTGGTCATTCTATTGTCTCCATATTTTTTAATCCAGGAATTTTAATCCATTTTTAATTACTTAAATTTTTAAAATTAGAATAAAATCTCGTAGAAAAAAAAGAACTGCTTACTAAGTGAACGCCAAACAATATGTGTATAATAGTGCGGAATATCATTAGTATTATAAATTCTAGTATTATAAATTCACATGCGGTTTTTTTTCTGAGAAATCGGTAATAGCGTAAATTACAACTTCCGATCAATAAAAATTACTCAAAATTTGATAGAAGGCAGAGAGTTAAATCTTTTACTTACATGTGAAATTTCATTTATCTGAAACAGTACTCAAGTTATTGGCTTTTAAAAAAATTGAAAGTTAAATAAGTTCCACTTCCGGTTACCGGAAATCGCTGAAAAGTTGATACAGAACTACAAATTTGACATAATACTTTAGATGAAATATCATCAACCTAGCTGTAACGGTACTCAAGTTATCGTGTTTATAGACACACATACACACACACACACACAGACATACGGATAAAATTGTAAAACTATGTTTTTCCGACTCAGGGAGGTGTATAATGTCGAGATTTGCACGATTACAATACTTCCTCTATACTTCGCATACGAGAAAGTAAAAAAGTAATCTTAAAATCGATTTTTTACTAGTTTAGACATTACTTTCAACTCACGTAGTTGTCGCTACAAATCAATAATAAAACAGTAGATTCCAAAACTTTACGGAATTGGCCGCTTTCCAGTTATGACGTCATCTTAGTCCAGTTGTGACGTCACCAAGTTGACCATTCAATGAACATCCCTAGTACAGTTGTGACGTCACAAGGTTGACCATTCAATGAACATCCCTCGTACAGTTGTGACGTCACAAGGTTGACCATTCAATTAACATCCTTAGTCCAGTTGACCATTCACTGAACCCTCCGTAGTACAGTTGTGACGTCACCAAGTTGACCATTCAATGAAAATTCCTAGTAAAGTTGTGACGTCACCGAGTTGACCATTAAATGAACATACCTTGTCCAGCTGACCATTCACTGAACTGTCCGTAGTCCAGCTATGACGTCACACATTTGACCGTTCCCTGATCTGCCCGTAGTCCATTTGTCGCGTTGGTCTGACCGATTTATTTTCGTCGCTTGACTTCTTCTTCTTCTTCGTTCTTAATTATTAGTGTTGAAGGGGATCAAGATTTATCTGCCAGTGGGTTTTGAACTCGAGACTTTGTTCGAATTTATCAAATATGAGCTTTTTGCCGACTCGACCACGCCTCCAACACAATTAAGCGTTACGTGTCAACTGGTTATGCGCCGTCGCTTGACAAAAGCGCAGTTGTCCGTATTCAGATTTATTTAGTCCGAAAAACAACGTTTGCCTAACGTGCACTCTCCGTAACTACTCCCCTCCTCACCCCCCCCCCCCCTCATATCCCCTCATTGATTGATACGATAATCCCCTATCAACTTGAGTCAGATGACGCCCACCACACAGCCCATGATGATGTGAACTAACTCACCTGTAGCAGATACTGGGGGTCGGGTGTTGAGCGTCATCAGGCTGTGTAAACACAGTGATTGTAAGTGATAGAGTGATCGTTCTTTGATACAAGGGGACGTAACTAACTGCATACTACTAAGAGGTAATAGAACATTTAAAGTTAGTCTCGCTCTTCCAAAGAAAATTTGTTTCAGACGAACAAGTTTTTTTGTGGTGAGTCTCGTATCCTATTTAAATATCAGGATCAGTTTAATTTTTTTTAATCGCTGACTATTTTAATAACATGAATGTAATAACAGTTTCATCGTTTGGGATGATGACCTATAGAAAGTTGTCAAAATACTAAATGAAGGAGATCTCTTGATATTTTCTAAACTTACTTTAGATTAACAAAAAAAAAACTATTTTCACATTACTTTAGTTTGTACATTCATTTTTGTTTCAATGGTATTTGAATTTCTCAAGTTCAATCTTCTGAAAAAAGAGGAAAATGTAGGGCAAAATATGAATAGAAAATAAGGAACATTCTTAAAGTTTAAGACGACAGTAAAATATAAAAAGTGTTTTTAAAGGGTAGGGCGCCAAAACAATTGGTAGGGCGCCCATACAACTAGTAGGGCGCCAAACAATTGGTAGGGCGGGCCCCATGTAAATGATACCGTGATCAGTAGAACATTAATAATAATTAACAATTTATATTAATTAAAAATTATCGTATTGAGGTAATTAATATTATTTTACAATTTTATTAAGAGATGGTATAACATTACATGGGCAGAAATGTTTAATGTATAAGCTGTAATGTAGATCACTTAGAGGATAAAGGACGAATCTTCTGACTTCAGGTTAAAATAAAGTGATGTAATCAATAGGCATCTAGTGACGTCAGCCATTGTAGGGGCGGGGCATTAATATTATTGACAATGTATTGAGAATGTTGTAAAACAAGGGCGCTGTTTGCTCCGTGTGGTCTAGCAAACATTAAAAAAGTCACGTCTCATGGATATGTTCTACATACTAGCGTTGGGGTAGCTACGATTTTATGTGAGATTGTAGATAGTTCAGCTACGTTTGTGTCAACACAATACATGTTATAGTGTGAGTTCGTTTTAACGGTGATCGTGTTTATAAATCTGAACAATACATCAGATGTTGATTGTTTAATGTAATGTAGAACTTGTAGCTTAATGTAATCAGTCTTAAGACAGGGGAAGTGTTTCGTATTAAATACGAATTAACAAAATCTGAACACACATATTGTATTAGTAAAAAAAATAAAGTTCACTTTTCGAACCTGAAGGTCCATCGGGTAAGTTATGTAGAGTCCGACAGATTCTGTGACCTCTGCATTTGAAGCCCAGACTTTCAGGTAAGCAGTTTAGCGCTCTATCGCTAGGCCACGCCGTTCCTAGATTGCATCAAATAGTTTGTTATTTTAACTGATTTTATGTTTTTATTTATTTTGTACTCTCAAATCCCTTACATTACCTTATGTAGTTCTGACTAATCATGTTAATTTTAAGTTTTGTTTATTCTTTCCTTTTCGATGTATTTTTTTATTACATCATTAACATTTAATTTTAAATGTCCGTAAAGTTAACAATCAAATCCTCAATAATATCAGCAATATTTATTGACAAAATTTTTCAATTTTAACCAAATTTCAGCTACATAATACAAGCAAATTTTCCCCCATTAAACAAAAACATTTTGTTTAAATAAAACAAGCAAAAATTACACGGTGAACGTGAATCTGCTTGTATCTACCCAAACAGTGTTTCTTCCAGACTTATTTTTCTCCGGGGGGGGGGGGGCACTTGAAATTTTCCGGGGGGGGGGGGGGGGGGCGGTAAACTTTCTTCGGGGAAGGGGGCGGACACTGTTAAAAGTATGTATTTTCTATATAAATTATATAAATTTCATTTCGTTAGGGAGGGCGGTAGAAGCCCCCTCCCCCCCCCCCCCCCCCGAAAAGATGCCTAGAAGAAACTTTGTATGCAAATGTATGGCTTCCGACAAAATGTGTCACAAGTCAGTTCACGCGTCAGGTAGATTCTAAACGCGACACACCTCTACACACCTGTACACACCTGTCGTGATGGACCCAGGTTCCGCCTACACGAAGTTTTTTTTTATAACGGAAGTTTTTAGCACGCTTGTGGGTATTATGAAAGGAAAGATCAATATTATTATATCTATATCTGATTGATTTTTATACAGTAAATCTTCGAAACAGCTATTTTAAATTGTTACACAGGTGTCGTTGCAAAAACGTGACGCCAAGTGAAGATTTTGTTTTTCCAACAACAAAGGTAAGAATAATTTAAAATTAATGAAACAGGGACTCAAATATTTTTTTGTGAAAGTTGAAATAGAAAAAGCTGAAGATCTCATTGGTGTATCAGATACCACGTGATCTAATCTAACACCAGCTATTCGAAGACTGTAAGCAGAGGTTGTATACAACACCGTTTAGCCAAGGCAGACGTTTTAAACACAGTTAAACCAAGGCAGACGTTTTAAACACAGTTAAACCAAGGCAGACGTTTTAAACACAGTTAAACCAAGGCAGCGTTTTAAACACAGTTAAACCAAGTCCGGAGCTATAAACAACACAGTTAAACCAAGGCCGGAGCTTTAAACAACACAGTTAAACCATGACGATGAAGCTAAATTTAGTCTACCTGGTCGTGTTTGGGTTGTCAAGCGCCCTCGTACTGTACACCGTTTTATCAAGGGACTTAACCAACAGTTTCATTACTGACCGACTCCTCACTTTATTTAGTCAAATGGCTAACTTAACGCATGCGCAGTCGCCCAATGAAACATTGAGCTGTCCCGACCTTCTTGCCGGCATGTCCACGGGTCGGTGGGTGACCCGTCCACTGACCCCCGGGGAGAAGTCGATGATTGACAGTTACCTGAAGGTGATGCGGAGCGAGTACCACATCCCCAGCAGCTACCAGAGGGACGACGGGAAGTGTGGTGACGTCGGCTACCAGGACACGAAACAATACAACCACATGTGGATCAAGGCCATTTGTGACCCCGATGGCCCCACCCCTTGTTGTAGGACTAATAGGTAAGATTTATGTGGCAAGTGTGTTATAGTGACAAGTTTGTTTGATGGTTGTTGCGGAATTGTGACAAGTAAAGTACTACTATCGGTCACCGGAAATTACTCAAAATTTGACAGAAAACAGAGAATTAGATCTTTTACTTAAATTTGAAATTTCGTCTATCTATCAGAAACAGTACTCACATTATACGCGTAAGTAGAAAAAAAAACCGTTAGTAGAATAAGTTCGACTTTCGGTTACCAGAAATCGCTAAACCGTTGACAAAGAACTACAAATTGTATAAGAAATTTTATCAACTTAGCTGTAAAAGTACTCAAGTTATATTGTTCACAGACACAAACACACACACACACGGACGGGTCTAGGATATACCGCCCCTCTTCAATTACCCCCGGACATTTCACCCATTACTTATATTACACCCCTGAGCCAAATCCCCCCCCCCCCCCCCCCCCCCTCGGTAATTACTCCCGTCCCATAGCTCAAGAATCCTGACCCTATACCTAACCCCAAACTCCATACCTATAATTAAAGCTAACTCTGAACCAAACCCCAAACCTAACTCTAGAACTATGTCTTAACTTAATTCTTACCTTAAAAAAAAAGCCTAAACCTAAGCATTCACCTCAGACTAAATCTAAACCCAAACCCAACTCCTAGACATTAGTTTTAGCCTAACCCTAATCCTAGCCCTAACCATAATCCTAAATTTACCTTAAGCTATGACCGGGGGGAGGGGTAATGTCCTACTGGACGAGGGGTAATTGAAGGGGGGGGGGTAATTGACAAAGGTTGATTACTCTGGGGGAGGATTATGTCGGGAGGGGGAAGGGGTGGTGTTCTCTTCCCCCCCACACACAGACATACGGACAAAATTGCAAACTAAGTTTTTCGGACTTCGGGAGGTAACAAACGTCGAGATTTGAGAAAATCTTTTTATTTCGATTCTTGCACGATTACGATACTTCCTCTATACGAGAAAGTAAAAAGTAAATATCAATTTAATAATTAGTAACAGTGGCTCCAAATAATTTTCGTCAGAAGGCACAGCGTAAGCTTATACGTATCTGCTGAGAGGTATGTTATGTAGTAGGTGTTTTTTTTCGAATTGTACACTTTAATAATTTATTTTGCAATGCTCCAGTTGTCTGCCCCTGTCCCAAGAAGAATGCAGGTGCCCCACGTGTTACGACGAGCGCCAGGCCATTCACTCCGAGTTCGCCACGTGGTCGCCACATGACGTCACGTGCAGCGTTGAGAACTTCACGTCAGAACAGGCGTGCCGGACGCTGAACGGCACCAGCCTGTACTTCATCGGAGACTCCTTCATCCGGCACGTCTTTGTGGCCATGGTCATCGTCCTGTCCGACAACGTCGTGGACGGCGCCCTGAAGAAGTCCTGGAACCCCGGACCAGGTCAGTCGATCGTGTGTGTGGGGGAGGGGGGGGGGGCTTTAATGGGGGGGGGGGGAGGGTTACGGCATGAAACACAGTATGTAGATCTCGGGGCTTTATTTAAAGGGTGGGGGTACGGAAAGGAACTGTAGGTGGATTTTGGTGGCTTTGTTTAAGGGTCGGGGTGCGGTTAACACCTTACAGACATGTAAGTTACTGATGCTCATACTGGAGACTTCACGGCCAGGAGTGAGAGCGAACGTTTACTAATTCCAAAAATCCAGAGTTCGAATCCTGGGCAGATGAGGTTCGATAGGTTCTGAACAGCAACCCACCGAGGAGAGAAAACTCCAAAATAAAACAACTTCCTTGTAGTTTGTTCTTGGATGGGTCTAGGCTATGAAAGCTAGAGTCAAGAGAAATAGCGCTGATTATTTAATCAAAAATTCCTGTACAAGTGCACCTCATGTCATATTTTTTCTGTTCATGTACGAGACACATGGGGCAGAGGAAGTAGAGTTTCAACTGTTTTGATGACGTATGCATACATAGAGAAAGTGGGATCAGAACACACATATCCGCCTTTGTTGCCCTAACGTGAGTCAGGTACCCATCAGAGCTGAGTGGACTCAGGGACATCTTACATAATCGAGCACTGAATCCAAACACGAGACTTTTATGTTAGCAGTGGTAAACTCTACTATCCGACATCGTGTCTCTATCAATGTACTTATTAACAACAAAATATTTCAGCAAAATGAATAACGGAATCATGTAATAAATAAACATTAGTAGTAAAAATAAACCATACGTGATCTCACCAAAACTTTCTCAAATATTCTAATATAACACTTCGTGGGATGGTAACTCGGGACATAGACAATATTTTTAATCCATTTTTAATTACTTAAACTTTTTATAAAAGAATAAAATCTCGTAGAAAAAAAGAATTGCACACCAAGTGAACGCCAAATAAAATGTGCATAAAAGTGCGGGATATTATTAGTACTTTAGAAATTCACATGCGTTTTTTTTTAGAAATCGGAAATAGCGTAAATTACTACTTCCGGTCAACGGAAATTACTCAAAATTTGATACAAGGTAGAGAATTAGTTTTTTTTTTACTTACATGTAAAATTTCATTTATCTATATGAAATAGTACTCAAGTTATAGGCTTATGAAAAATTGAAAGTAGAAAAAGTTCCGATTCCGGTTATCGGAATTCGCTAAAATGTTGATACGGATCTACGGTTTTGATATAATACTTAAATATGAAATTTTATCAACCTAGCTATAACGGTACTCAAGTTATCGTGTTTACAGACACACATACACACATACACACACAGAGACATACAGACACGATGTTTTTTCCGACTCAGGGAGCCCTAAATCGTCGAGATTTGGAAAAATCTCGGTGTTTTCTTTGCACGATTACAAAACTTTTTGTACACTTTGGATATACGAGAAAGTAAAAAGGGCACTCTTTCTGTTAAGAATTAATTTGTATTGCGACTTCATTGAAGAGTGTGTCCTAAGCGAGATTTTTTACTTTTTCTGGAACTAAAGACAATGGTTGTCAGTGTAACGTCTGACACTGCGTCACAGGACTACGGCATTTCTGGAACTGTTGTGACGCGGGAACGCGGGTGAATTTACTAGGATGACGCGCGTTTAACGTCAACAACAGCTTTAGCAGCGATGCACTAGTGGCATTACACCAACTCGATATTCACGGTTTTACGACATGACTTCAAAACTATCAACACAACTGCCCCATTACTAATCTAGCCTGTCCTTTTATACTGGGTTTTTGTTCAAATCAGCAAAGAAAATTATTATAATTAGACACGGTTTGTTTAGGTTCTGTTAAATTATTATTTTTAATAAACTGATGTTTAGGTTTCCTGTTAGGCTAATTAAACGATTCCAACTTTGCAGACATAAAGAAGACATGTTATGGAATGTTCCAGATTACGGGTGGTATGTGTCGTTATCAGCTGGAGGAAGATCAGCTTCTGTGTAACAACACGGTCAGGGTGAGTATATATACACAGGTCAAATAATAAACAACACGGTCAAAGTGAGTACATCCACATAGGTCAAATAATAAACAACAAGGTTTGTGTGAGTACATCTACATAGGTCAAATTATAAACAACAAGGTCAGTGTGAGTACATCTACACAGGTCAAATAATAAACAACACGGCTAAAGTGAGTGTAATCCACACAGGTCATATAATCGCTAAGGATACCAGCTCAAAACTACTTAAATGGTATTTTATCTTGTATGATTAGAAAAACGAGTTTTTGGAACGTATTAAAAAATAAACCGAGAGTGATCTCCCCTAAACTTTCTCGAATATTTTTATATAAAACTACAGGGGATGGTAACTCGGGCTATAGACATGATTTTTAATCCATTTTAAATACTTAAAGTTTTAAAAATAGAATAAAATCTCGTAGACAAATTAATTGCACACCAAGTGAACGCGAAATAAAAAAGCGCATAATAGTGCGCAATATTATTATTACTTTTAAAATTTACATTAGTTTTTTGAGAAATCGGAAGTAGCGTAAATTACTACTTCCTGTCAACGGAAATTACTCAAAATTTAACAGAAGGTAGAGAATTAGATCTTTTACTTACATGTGAAATTTCATTTATCTATCTGAAATAGTACTCAAGTTATAGGCTTTTGAAAAATTCAAAGTAGAAAAAGTACCACTTCCGGTTGTCGGAAATCGCTCAAAAGTTGATACGGATCTACGATTTTGATAAAATACTTATATATGAAATTTCATCAACCTAGCTGTAACGGTACTCAAGTTATCGTGTTTACACACGGACAGACAGACAGACAGACAGACACACACACACACAGACATACGGACAAGATTGCAAAATTATGTTTTTCCGTATCAGTGAGGTGTAAAACGTCGAGATTTGTAAAAATCTCGATTTTTTTTTTTTTGCACGATTACAATACTTTCTCTATACTACGTATATACGAGAAAGTAAAAAAGAGACGTTTATAAGCAGTGTTTCTACCAGTCTTTTTTCTCCGGGGGGGGGGGGGGGGGGGGGGGGTGGGGCACTTGAAATTTTCGGGGGGGGGGGGCGGTAGACACTTTCTTCGGGGGGGGGGGCGGACACTGTAAAAAGTATATATTTTCTATATAAATTATATAAATTTCATTTTGTTCGAGGGGGGGGGGGGGTAGAATTATTCGGGGTAGTGGGGGCTTCACCCGCCCCCACCCACCCCCACCCCCCAAGAGATGCCTGGAAGAAACTCTGTTCATAAGTCGACTCAACCCTGAAGCAGAAATACTACAGGATTTTATATTGGTCTTTCAAATGGTTGACCAATGAAAGACTTGCGATCTACACATCCACACTAGATTTTCTTGATAGTTGAAAGTTACTTCAAAACATAAACTTTGCTCCTCATTTTACTTTTTGTTCTAGGTCAGGTATGTGGAGGTGTTCCCAGCCTCCCAACTTTCTCGCGCACTTCCGGTTCTGGAGACGCTCCGCGACCAGAGCAACTCCACCATCATCTTCAGCATTGGTATCCACGACGACATGGACGCCGACGTGGTGGCCAAACAGTTTCTACTTCCGTTCCTCAACGCCAGGCAGTATTACGTCACCAACAACGCCAGCCTTGACCTTAATCACGTGATGACCAACTTCCATAACTGGAGAGTTGACCTCAATAATAAAAATAACTCCGGGGATTTTTATCCCTTTCACTCTAAAATAGACGATGAATCTTCTAGCAAAACCACAAAGTCTTTCAGCGGCAATATAACAAACGCCATTTTAAACCAATTAGTTACTAACGGCTCATTAATTAATAAAGAAAATAAAACCGTTTATTTCAAGAATATTCCAGACCCCGCCCACAAAAACGCCAGGCCACGCCTCCTATGGCTAGGCGTCCACGCCCCTGGTCTGCTCAAGTCTCCCAAGTTCCAGAGGCAGACGGCAGAGGGGGTGCAGCTGTACAACCAGGAGATCCAGAAGATATTGAATCAGTGGAGCGTACCAGACTTGCAGACGTTCAACTTTACACGTGGCGTGGTCAGCCATGATGGAACTCATTACGGCTGGGGCATCAATATGTTGAAAGTTAACATGATATTAACGTATTTTAATAAAACTACTACCTAGAAATTTAAATTACTATATTTATAGATTGTCTTTTTTAAATATGCACATGTTTTATGATTAAATTAAATGCTGCAGAGTTTGAAAGCTTTGCAATTAAAACGGTTCTTCTTGATATTTTATTCGTTGCTCTGAGTTGCCAATAGTCCCGACCCCCCCCCCCCAATAAAAAGTATGCCAGTAAGCAAGACACTACACATATGCACACGAAATCAGACCCCCACACCCAACTCACCTGTAGCAGATACTGGGGGTCGGGTGTTGAGCGTCATCAGGCTGTGTAAACACAGTGATTGTAAGTGATAGAGTGATCGTTCTTTGATCCAAGGGGAGATAACTTACAGCATACAAGGGAGGCAAACTACTCAGAGGTAATAGAACATTTAAAGTTAGTCTCTCACTTTGAAGACAATTTGTATCATACCAACAAGATGTGGTGGCGAGGCTCGTATTATTTTTTGTTTCGCCATTCAAACTTATAAAAAAAGTAAAGAATCTTTAGACCTAGCGATCAAATTGGGTAGAAGAAGTAGAGTTAACATGTTTCTTAATGGTATTACATTATATGTGTAGAAAATTAAATAAAAGAAATGTAATTTTGTTCTGTATATCTGTTAGTGTAAAAATGATATGTAGATTACCTCTAATCTTCTGACTTGAAGATAAAACAAACTACTGTGCGCAATAGGCACGTGGCATCTAGTGACGTCAGTCATTGGAGGGGCTGGGCATTAATCTCAGTGACACAGTGACGTCGCTAGGTCGGGAGTCACCCGGTGCGGCACTTCTTGGTGTCACCCCCCCAATATATATATATATATATATATATATATATATATATATATATATATATATATATATATATATATATATATATATATATATATATATATAAAGCAATGTATGTGTGTGTGTTTGTCCTTTATGCATTACTACACCTCTTATCACATCGCCGTGAAACTTTGGGAAGTTGTTGAGAATATTCCTGGGGAGGTTTCTGCGAAATTTTTTTTTCAAATTTGCAGGGGTGGTGCCCCGGCAGGGCGCGATTTGTTTTTCTCGCTATACGGTATATAAAAATAAAAAGTCGATTTTGGTTTGCCATCGTTCATCTGCTAGCCATGAGACTTTGGGGAGTTCATAATAACACTCTAAGGAAGGGTTCTGTAAAAAAATAATTTTTAATTTCGCAAGGGCGGCGCCACGGGAGGGTCCGATTTTTCTCTATTTACGGTATATAAAAATAATAAAAGGGAATTGCAGTGACACCATTTATCCGATAGCCATGAGACTTTGGGGAGTTCATAATAACACTCTAAGGAAGGGTTCTGTAAAAAAATAATTTTTAATTTCGCAAGGGCGGCGCCACGGGAGGGTGCGATTTTTCTCTATATACGGTTTATAAAAATAAGTCGATTTTGGTGTGACACCGTTATCCGATAGCCATGAGACTTTGGGGGAGTTGATAAGAACAATTCAGGGAAGGGTTCTGTAAAAAAAACATTTATTAATTTCGCAAGGGCGGCGCCACGGGCGGCTGCGATTTTTCTCTATATACTGTTTATAAAATTTCGTTTTCACACCGTTCATCCGTGTACTATGAAACTTTCGGGAGATGATTAGATCACTCAATGGTAGGGTTCTGCAAAAAAATATTGTTTAATATTGCAAGGGCGGCGCACCACCGGGGGGGGGGGCGATTTTTTTCTCTATACACGGTATATAAAAAATAAAACTCGGATGCGGTTCATCCGAGTGCCATGAAACTTTAGGGAGTAGATGAGAATACTCCCGAAAATATTTCTGCGAAAAAGAAAACTAAAGTTACTTACGGGCGGCGCCATACAGGGTACAACTTTCGTCAATACACTGTTTGGCGCCCAGAGTTTTAGAGCGACCAAGTTGGCACTTGGCATCCGTTAATCGATCGTCCTGCATAGCGAGTAAGAGGTACTACTATATTCAGCGGTAAAACTACAACAGGCTTCTAAAAATAACTTTGTAACGCGAGGAAATCCTGTACAGTTTCGTCACCTTGCGAAAGATTAAAAAATAACTGTTTGAATATGAGGAACCTACTGTAGTTTTCGTCACTTTGCGAATGATGCAATAAGCATAGGCCGAAATTGAGATCGACCATCTAATAATAGACCATTAGTAACGCTAGCATATTGCATCAGTCAAACTGATGTTTAAAACACGTCAAATAATTTGTGTATGTATTAAAGAAAAAAATCCTGTTCATTTGTGTCACTTTGGCGAATGACGAAATCTGCATCATTGTTTACAGTATGCTATTTGGCACGCTGGGTTATGCTATGAGTACGATGGCGCCTGTTAGTTTTAATGAGCCAGGGATTTACGCTGCGCCTCTGCGGTAGTGTAATCGGGGGGTGGGGGGGGGGGGGCTCCTGAGAGCGCCCCTCTACGTCCCTGACATATGGGTGGTCACCGAAGTGTGTTCTACCTAATTATTTCGGTGAGTGATTAATATACACTCAAGGTTTTCATGTGGTAGTGTAGGAAAACCCGTGTCCCGATAATTATTATCCAAGCGCAGGCATTGTTAACATTTAAATAACACAGTTTTAGAAAACAAGGTGACGCGTCTAAGAACATATGAATGGAAATGCATTGGTGATATCCTTCTAATATATTTCGTCAGACTTTATTCTATCCCCGCGGCAACGCGCGGAACGGGTACACTAGTATATATATATATATATATATATATATATATATATATATATATATATATATATATATATACATACTTATGCGTGTGTGTGTATATATGTATAAGCTTTAATCACTGCAGATGTAACAGTAACAGTTGGATGTGTCATTGTTTTCTCTATAGTTTGCACTTTTACGTCATGGTGTTACCCCACCCTCTTGTAATAATTTGTACTCAAAAGAATATTTAACTTCAATTAACCATTAATGGGTCTGGCAGAATGGATTTTTCTTCTGAACATTTTCCAAATTTTTGCCTTGGTGTCACCCGGGGTGCGGTCCGAACCACCCCCCCCCCCCCCGCCCCGCTCTTGCTACGCCTCTGCATTGATAATATATCGAGAATGTTGTAAAACAAGGGCGCTGTTTGCTCCGTGTGGTCTAACATACATTCAAATAGTCACGTCTCAGGGGTAGCTACAGTTTTATGAGAGACTGTAGATAGTTCAGCTACGTTTGTGTAAACACAATACATGTTATAGTGTGAGTTCGTTTCAACGGTGATCGTGTTTATACATGTAAACAATACATCAGATGTTGATTGTTCAATGTAATGTAGAACTTGTGGCTTAATGTAATGAGTCGTTAGATAGAGGAAGTATTTCGCCCTTTAATTACTGAATTATTCCCAAGTGGAAAATTATTTTTCTGTTGTTTCTTACTGTAAACAAAATTAGGAGAAAATTATTTCGTGTGTGTAAAAACGCTCGAAATTAGAAGCGTTCTTTTTCTTCTTCCTTCTTAATTTTAGTGTTGGAAGGGATCCCCTTAAGGATATGTGTCAAATGGTTATGCGCCATATTGACTCCAGTTTCAGCCAGCTTTTCTTTTTGGAATTGCTTCCATAGACTTTGTCCAACCAAGAACAAACTACAAGGCAGCAGTTGTTTGATTTGGGAGTTGTCTCTCCTAGAAGAGTGGCTGTCCCCAGCTAACTAGCCTCATCTGCCTGAGGATTCGATCTCGAGACTTTTCGGTTTTGCAACCATGAGGTTTAACGACTCGACCACGCCGACCCCTAGAAGCGTTAATTCTATCCCATCTAATATCAATGACTGCGTGTGTGTGTTGAAATAAGAAATATAAAATCTGGACATTCGGTTACTACTTACTAAACGATGTGAAATTATTTACTAAAGCAAATAAGTATTAACCCATATCCAGCTAGCGTCCCATGTATGGGAAGATTGGAAAAAATTTTTTTTGCTAAAATGTATTAAGTTAAAAACTATTTAAAACACATATTATGTTTCATTGTATTTGGAAATGGTTAGACTACTGTACTTGTGTGTTCTGTGAAAAAATTTAATTTAGAAAAAAGTTATAGCGCCGGCTTTGATGGACTTTTCAAAATGTCGGAAAAAAGAAAACATGCGCGCAGGAGAGTGCAAATCTTTTTCAATATTTACTATTTAAGTGCGAAATGTATTTGAAACTTGTAGCAGTACCATATTTCTATCTGCTAAAAATTTAAGAATAACAATTTTTTTTACTACTTCGTTATATCAAGTGTACAACAAGCGTCCCATAAGTGGGACGCTTGCAACGAACGGCCCCGTGTAGATTGTTACACAAACGTCATATCTATTGGACACTAACGAGAAACACAAATGTAAATGTTTATGTTTAAATGGTTATTTATGTTAGTTTTTTATAGTTATTTTTTTAACTGTTGACTTTGGGGTTGAATTAGTATCTATTTATATTTAATTATGACCTTGACCTATATATTAGTTACATAATATTATTGTAAAAAAATTATAAATATTTTTTTAAATATGCTCGGCCTTCACAAATAATTATAGCAATAGACCAAAGTCATAAGAGATCCCCCTCCAACACAATTAAGGATACGTGTCAAATGGTTATGCGCCATTGAGGCCATTGACTCCGATGTCAGCCTGCTTTTCGTTTTGGATTTGCTTCCATTGCCTTTGTCCAACCAAGAACAAACTACAAGACAGCAGTTGTTTAATTTTGGAGTTGTCTCTCCTAGAAGAGTGGCTGTCCTCAGCTTACGAGCCTCATCTGCCCGTGGGTTCGAACTCAAGACTTTCGATTTAGCAAACATGAACTTTATTTTATTGACAATATCTTTCAACTTTCACCATATTTTAACTACATAATACAAGCAATTTTTCCCCGTTAAACACATTTCTACTAAAATAAAACAAGCAACAATTTTTTAACAAAGATTACAGTCTTGATTCTACTTGTTTTTATCCACAAGTGTGGCTTTAGGTAACATGTGTAACTGTTTAGGTCTA